ACAAGAATGGAGCTAACATTCTTTCAAACACCATCTCAAAAGATCTAGATGCTTCTAGAGACTTGGGTAATTTTTCAGTAAATTCCGAGGTCTACGTGACATTGAGACTGTGTCCTTATGTGTAAGTCAGAGACAGCAGCATGTCAAAACAGTTCAGTATACTGCAGCCAATAACTTGATCCCTAGATATATGCACAACTGTACCAATCAAGAAGAGATCCACATTGGCCTTAAGTGGTAGGTACTGATTAGTTTGGGCCATATTTTTTTTTGTTTGCTTCATATAAGCTATAGTACACAGAACAAACTTATTGTTTTTCATTGCTGAGGACATTTTGCTCTTAAAGGATGAACAAAATATTGTCAGTAAAAGATCTCCAAGTTAATTGAACAAAAACCATAAAGATTTTTTTATTATCTGGTCCTAATATCATGCCATGGATGGTGTTAGGATTCCAGTGGATACTTCATTTGAGATGATACTAAAAAAGATTATGGTCATTAAACAAAATGCAAGCTGCCTTTCAGAGTTATTTTGTCATATTTGCAAAGGAATTGCTATGGCAAGTATCTCTGCTCCAATAGTCATGAAATGAGTGGCTCCTTCTTACCCAAAATATGTACTCTTTCTTAACAGAATTTTAAAGCAAGGGTAACTGGCTTAGTGCAACTCAAAAATGCTAGAACTAGTCCTAAAATTGGGAATAGGTATTGAGCACTTGTTGTGAATTAAGCTTATTGCAAATATATGTATTAAAGCACATTACATGTCCATTGTGAAGGAATATCCATTGGTTGTGCTGCGCTCCTGGTTTAGAACATTTTTCACGATTTGTAATTCCTTTCTCACAACAACCCCACAAGTGTGAGGTTAGTATACATTCATTCTAAATTTACAAAAGATGAAACTAAGTTCCAAAGTAGGTTAAAACAATGGGCCCCTGGAGCCCATCCTAGGAAATGGCAGGACTTGGTCTGTAACCCAGTTCTGCTTCACTCCAGAGCTCTATGCACTTAATCATTATGCCACACTGGATTCCAGAAAAAATAGCACAGAGCTTAGGATTTTAACTTAGGTTAAGAGCATTTTCACCTAGGAAGCTAGCTCGGTCAAATGTAGAGAGCACAGACCACCCTCCTTGGTGCTGTGGCAGTTTCTTCCATGCCATCAATTATCACATTCAATTGTTCTTTATTAATTGTTCTCAAACTGCAGTTCTTGGAGGGAGTCTAGGTTTCATAGAGGTCCTTGCAAACCAAATTCATATCTGACAAAAAGAATGCACTCAGAAGAGTCAAAGCGGTTGATTCCGCTGCCTGACACCATAATTAAAAGCCAGAGAAGAATTAGAGTACATGCTGAATTCGGGAGATAGCTTTACATGCCGCGGCAGGAGAGTCTTGGTATTATGTTTGTCCCATTTTGCTTGTTAAATATGTTTATCCAAGTGAATATGAGGAAGATTTACTACTTTGTGAAATCCTTCACAACACAATGGAAGAAAAAAATTAGCATTTAGACTGTTTTCAACAAACTGTTATATTGAGCCTGCAGATCAGGAAAGAGACCAGACCAAGATGCCTTTGGAGTATAGTAGCACTACAGATGGTAATCAGTGCGGTGAGGAAGGGCACGAAGATAGAAGGATAGGTAAACAGGCTCAAGCAAGCCAATTTATCTGCCTCAGAATGCCTGTAGGACCCGAGTTTTATAGTGGGTAGGCTGAATAATTTTGTAAGATCCTAAGGTACTGGGGAATACTGCTGAGCTGGAAGAGAGCAGACTGGGAGCAAAATGGAGCAACACACTTCAACTCCAATGTCCTTGGGAGGTCCTTGCGGGGACACCAAAGGGGAATTAAGACATTTAGTCCCTTTTAAAGTGAAGACAAGCTATTGCGAATGCCCTAAGCTAAGGCTTTACCAAGACCCTATAGATTTCCCGGGAAATTTCTCTCTGGAAGCAGAGTTTCAAGATTTGATGCATTCTTGGTGTACCTCATCCTGGATCGGTTGCCCATCTTTTATGCACACACATAAATGCACGTGGGAGAAAGAACTGGCTCTTGAAATTCAGGATCCAGGGCTAAAAGTAAGGGTTGATTCAAAAACACAAATCTCATACCAGCTCACACCTGTCAGAATGGCTAAAATAAAAAACACAAGAAAAAACAAGTGTTGGCAAGGATGTGGAGAAAAAGAAACTCTTGCACACTTTTGGTGGGAATGCAAACTGGTGCAGCTAATGTGGGAAACACAGGCAAAAGAAATGTAGCTTAAAATCTTCTTACAGCTTGCAGCCCACTGGTAGATCCCTGAAACATGCTGAGCGTGACCTTCCTCAACGAACTTGTGGCTGCCCTAGTACCTTCGTGTTTAAAGGGCACCTTGTCTTGGCAGCAGGTGGCCCCTCCAGGTCCTGAAAGCCTTGCTGCCAGATTCCCTGGGGTCTTGCCCTATCCCTAACCCCCGCTAATTCAAAAGTAAAAAATCAATCACTCCTCACAATCCCAGTATAGCTCTTCTGCCCATAGGTCCTGTCCCTTGAGTAGGGAATTCGTTAAGGTCTAGGCAAGAGACAGGAGGCCCCTGACCTGGCTCTGAAACTATTCCTGGCAGGTGGAGATGCTGAGACAGAGCAGAACAAGAGATAAGGGAACAAACCAAGAGGGCACAAGAATCTCAAGGCCGTAAGCTTTCCAGTCAGTTCTCAATAAAAGAGCGCCCCTAAAAGCCCTCAGTGGCCACCCATTAGGGACCCTTTTCACTCTTGAGAGCTTTTTTCTTTCCTTTCGGCTCTCACCTTCACTTAATAAACTTTCACTTCACTTCACCCTTTTGTGTCCGCGAGATTCATTCTTCAATTCCATGAGACAAGAACGTTGTGATCCTGCAACACAGCCATTGTGGAAAACAGTAGGAAGTTTCCTCAAAATGTTAAATTCTTATGTGATCCAGCAATTCCACTACTGGATATTTAATCCAAGGAATACAAAATCACTAATTAGAAAGATACATACACCCTATGTTTATTGCTGCATTATTTGCAATAGCCAAAAGACGGAAGCAACCCAAGTGTCCATTCATAGATGAATGTATAAATGTATACACACATACACATAGACACACAGTGGAATATTAGCCACAAAAATGAGATCTTCCATTTGCAACAACATGGATAGATCCAGAGGGTATTATGCTAAGTGAAATAAGTATGTCAGAGAAAGACAAATACCATATGATTTCACTCATATGTGGAATTTAAGAAAACAAATGAACACAGAAAAAAAAAGACAAACCAAGAAACAGACTCTTACATATAGAGAATTGGTGGTTACTAGAGGGCACATGGGTGGGGCCATGGGTGAAAGAAATGAAGGAGATTAAGAGTACACTTTTTTTTAAAGATTTTATTTATTCATTTGACAGAGAGAGACTAAGAGAGGCAGGCAGAGGAAGACGGAGAAGCTGACTCCCCGCTAAGCAGAGAGCCCGTCATGTGGCTCAATTCCAGGACCCTGGGATCATGACCTGAGCCAAAGGTAGCCGCTTAACCAACTGAGCCACCCAGGTGCCCCAAGAGTACGGTAATTGTGATGAGCACTGAGTAATGTATAGAATTGCTGAATTACTATATTATACATCTGGAACTAATATAACACTGTGCTAACTATACTGGAATTTAACAAGTAAAAGTAAAGCATCCTCCACTTGCGCTATAACAGGGCTGGAAGGAAAGAAGTAGAAGGGGAAGCTGCAGATGGGAGAATAACCTTGCTTATTCTCTTGATGAGTTTATTATGGCCACCATCAAACAGCTGTTGGGAATTTCATGAGATTTGGCAAGAGGTAATGGGGCAATGGCAGAAGAAAGGAAAAGGAAACTAATGGGAGGAAGATCTCATTGCCCCTGTATCACAAGTCATTTAACAGCACTGTACAAATAGGCCAGTGACAACTGTTTGGTCCTTACAGCATTTTACCAAAATGTGAAATTTGCACTTACTCTCATCAGTTACATTATGTCCTAATTAAAAAAGTGTGAGAACTCCCCAATTTACTCCGTTACACACACCACAGCAACGCTTTAACATTTCAAGTCCTCTAGAGTTTGATTTTTTTGAGGCTCTGCAAAGAGTAAGCATTAGCTTAACAGGGTTAATAATAATTTTCTTGACTACCTGTGAGATTAAGAAAAAAAATTTTGTTTACTATGCTATTATAGGTCAGTTAAAACACCCTATAAGATCTTAGTTTTACCCATTCTGCTTCTACTAACCAAGTGTTTATTTGGAAATGTTTTAGATGGCTAGAGTGTAGCCTAAGGATTGGAGGGGATTTGGGTGGACACAGGGATTATCAGCCAGAAAGCTATGGGAACAGTCTAGGTGAGAATGAGACAAAGGGCCTGTGGTGGAGTGAAGACAGAAGTGGGTAGATTTGAGAGTAAATCAAGGAGGGAAACGCAAAGATTTGGCAGTAGATTGGATGGGGAGGGTGAAGAGTGCTCAGTAGGTGTTATCCATTTAATATGGTGATCAATGAAGGATTCTTATGTGTAGGGTAGACACATCTTTAACAAAACAAAAAGCCTGGAAAAGGTGGAGGGGAGGAGAAAGTTAACTTTAGGAGTAAAGAAGGTGGCATATTCAGTGTCATGATCAAAGCTTTCCCAAGTTTTACGGTAGTCGAAACAGCAGTCCTTAGAGATTATTCTCAACTAAAAGTTCCCTCCATCCGTTAAGCCTTGCCGAAGGTCCCTAGAGCCGTCGGTTCAGGAAAGTCAAGGACTTGCTTTTTTTCTCGTTTTCACCCCTCCGGGCGGACTGCACCCGCCCCCTTTCCCGCCAACCGCAGGCCCCACCCCTCCCGTCCCGCGCGCCCGGACTTTTGGCGCCTTCCCGCGGCCCCGCCCCTCGGGCCCCGCCCCCCAGCGTCCTCCCCGCCCAGACTCGGGGACCGCTGCGGCCGGGGCGGGTCGCGGGCCTGCTGCGTCTCTGTCGTTGCCCGAGCCCGCCGCGGCTCCAGCTCTGGGAGGAGCACTTCCCCGGAAGGCGGGGCGATGCCGGGGAACCGGCAGCCGAGGGTACGCTCCGGGAACGAGCCTCGTCCCGCGCCCACCATGGAGCCGGAGGGGCGCGGGGCCTGGGCCCACAGCCGCGCCGCGCTCGACCGGCTGGAGAAGCTGCTGCGCTGCTCGCGTTGGTAAAGACGGACCCTCGGGCGGGTTGCCGCGAGGGCGGGGGTCACGGTCGCCCCAATCTGGGGGGGGCGGGGATCTTTTCAAACCCCGGGTTCCCTCTTCCCATTGCCGTCCCGCAGTCGGGGCGGCGAGCAGAGTTAGTACCTGCCCAGGGATCTGGTGTTAAGTTAGCCCCTCCCTGGGCCCGGTTCACAGCCTTTCCGCGCGGCTTTCTTGCCTTTTCTTCACCAAACCCAACGGAGATGGTAGTTTTCGAACTTAGCGGGCCGAAGACTCGTCTGGAGGTGTGGTTAAAAATGCAGATCCCAGGCCCCGCCTCCGGAGTTTGACTTCGTAGGGCTGGGGTGGGGCTAAGACATCTGCACTTTTACAGGGCCCGGGACCCCTACTGACCAAAGTAATCACAGCAGCTCTGCCGAGGGCTGCTGAGTTTGAAGCAGTGTCGCTCATTGCTGAGCTGGCCCTTGGACCGTTTCTCTGTAGCAGCTTTTTCTGGGGAGAGTTTTGGGTACCCTTGTTGGAGGTAGATTGAAGATAGCAGTGTGATGGACGCCGCCATTCTATTTCTCAGTTTCTCATTTCCTTGGTTTAGTCAAAAGCCTGTACGGCTGGAGGTTCCAGCTCTTACGGAAGCTGTTTATTATCATTTTTTGTTTCTTATTTTCCTTCATGCTGTTGCGCCATGGGAGTCTTCTCACTTCCAGGTTTTCATTATATCTGAAGACATCATTTTCATGACTGCTACTCTTTTCCTGTAGCTTTTCGTACTGTACAAACCAAGGAGGTTTATAAAACGCAAGAAGGAATTGTCACCTTTTTCATTTCTTCCAGAAGCATTGATTGAGCACCTGCTGTGCGTACATCTCAGTGTTTCTGCATCAGTATCACTCAGGCAGATTTTCTCTCTGCTTGTAGCTGTCCTGTGTTTCTTTTTTGGACTTTGTTTTGTTTTTTTCCCCTCTGATTTCCAACCTGCAGAACAAGTACAAGTAACACCGCAGCCTTTTCTTTAAAAATGAAATGGGCTTAGCTGTGGGGCACCTGGGTGGCTCAGTAGGGTAAGCGTGGGGCTCTTGATTTCCCCTCGCGTCCATGATTTCAAGGTCCTGAGATTAGCCCTGGGTGGGGAGTCGGCTTGAAACTCTTTCCTTCTTCCTCTGCCCCTCCCCCTCCTCTCCCTCTCTTTGTCTTTTCTCTCTCTCTCAAATAAATCTTAAAAAAAAAAGAAATGGACTTAACTGTCACAGACTTTTGCACTTATATTTTGTTTTATAAAACTTTAAAAAATCATTGCACCCATTAGAAAAGTGGCACTTTTGTTAGCACATGGAGACATTCTGAGTTGTGTGTTTTTCATAACACAGGGGTCATCCATCTGAGAATAAGAAATTTACAACTGCCAGTTGCTATAATAGCAATTATAATCATACCTTCATAGGTCAGCAAAAGTTAGACATTCAGATGGGACATTTCTGTATGGAAGGCATTAGGGCAGGCAGTAGCCTAGTGCTTTGCTCAGACTAGAGAGGCAGACTGCCTGAGTTCAGGTTCTAGCTTTGACACTGTGGCCGAGGTCATTCAAATTCTCTGCCTTGGCTTCCCCATCTGAGTGATAATAGTGCTCAGCTCATCCACCTATGAGGATTCCTTAATAATATATTATTGAGCACCAGCAAAGTGCTCTTTTGGCATTGGGGCTTTGTTAGTGAACAAAGCAGACAAAAACCTCAATCCTTATGACGCTAACATTCTGTGGGAGGGAAGAAACTAAATGAAATTATATGTGTACAGGGTTGAGTATGTTGGTTGTCATAGGATAAGTGATAAATAATAGCTGTCTTACAAAAATACAAAGAAGTATAGCCTGCTTGCTGAATGGTTCGGGGAAGACAAAGTAGGTGATTTATAAGAATAATCTAGAGGTTGTCCTAAAATCTAATACAGCCAATTTCACTTTTTATCCCCAACCAAATATTTTTCCAGTTTCTAACTGAAGTGAGCAGACAATAAGAGCCAGAGGACTGAAAGTGGACATTAGTAACTAGGTTCAGACTTTTAATATAATTCATTCTTTTGGCTGGAGAATAATAGTGAACTCCAGTGATTTTCCTTAAAAAATTAGTATATGAACCACTCATGGAATAACTAAACTCATCACCTGTTTCTTTGCATTTTTTAACCTAGGCCTATGCAAACTTTTCCTGTAAAGAATCATATAATAACTATTTTGGGCTTTGCTGGCCACGGTCTCAGTTCTTACTCTTTTTGTTTTTTTATAGCCCTTAAAAACAGGGGCGCCTGGGTGGCTCAGTCGGTTAAGGGTCTGCCTTCGGCTCAGGTCACCATCCCGGGATGCTGGGATTCAGCCCCGCATAGGGCTCCCTGCTCAGCGGGGAGTCTGCGTCTCCCTCTCCCTTTGCCCCTCTCCCCTGCTCATGCTCTCTTGTGCAGGTGCGTGCTCTCTCTCTCTCTCTCTCTCTCTCTCTCTCTCTCTCTCTCAAATAAATAAAATCTTCAAACAAAACAAAACAAACCCAAAAAGCATTCTTAGCTCAAGGCTGTACAAAGATAGTTTTGATTTGGTGCATAGGCTATAGTTGGCCAAACTGTTTTAATGAGTAGAATGTCTTTAAAGATCCTTCTCAGTGTAAAATTTTATATCCCATGAGATTTAATATTTAGAAATAATTTGGCGGTCTTCTCGGTGTCTCGGTATGTTTTGGCACTGTTCGTAGTGAATAAAGCATGGCTAGTTGCTCCTTACCCATGGGGAGAAAAAAACAAAAACAAAAAAACCAAACCGATTCTTTCCACCTCTGCCTGTTATCATTGCTTGAAAGGAGCAACTCTGGATGGTCTGCTTCTTGCTTTTGCTACCCACCATTAATAGCAGTGTCATATTATTTGAAATTGTGTGTCAGTATGCCCTTTTACAGAGTTTCAAAGTTGTACCCAGTGGGCTAGTGATTACCCCGATTACCCTCACATTCAGCTTGCAGCTGTCATCTCTATTGCGTTCCCAGGTGTCACCTGTCTCGCGTAGCATAATTGGATCTGTTTTGCAGGAAGCATTACTTGAGGGTGAGTGAGGGTGGATTGGCTGCATTACAGGGCATCCTTTCTTGACCTTTAACATAAGTATGGCTCCAAGGTGAAGCGGATGAAATTTTTCAAGAGGCCAGATGTGACATTTGTGTTAGGTCCAAGCCTCACAACCAGATAGAAGCTATTTAAAGATTTGGAAAAATGAGACAGGACGACTATGTCATTTGAGAAGCTGGCAGAAAGCATAGTTAGTAATAACATGTTCCCAAAGGCAGTAGGAAAAAAATAATAGGAGCTGTAGTGTAAAAGCCCACGTGTCATATGACACTATTTTGTGAATTAAAATAATTAGGTACCGCTTGCCATTGGGAGCAGCAGGGGCTTTGACCTCTACTACAATGTAATTTGGAGTTCTATCACGTTTTAAATCGACTTTTAGTAAAAAATAATCTTGTGATTTTTAGGGTAGTGGATTTTATTTTTCTAAATTATCTTCTGTCATTTTATTTTATTTTTAAAGATTTTATTTATTTATTCATGAGAGAGAGAGACACAGAGAGAGAGGCAGAGGGAGAAGCAGGCTCCCAGGGAGCAGGGAGCCCGATGCGGGACTCGATCCCAGGATCCTGGGATCATGACCTGAGCTGAAGGCAGACGCTTAACCATCTGAGCCACCCAGGCGCCCTCTTTTGTCATTTTAAAGGCGATCAGGATTATTTTCGCTTATTGATAGCTTAGTTGTTAAGAGCATTGATTTTGAACACTGGCTTCCAATCGTGGCTCAGTGATTTTGGGTAAATTATTTTATCTTTGTATGCTTTTTTCATTTGCAAAATGAATTAGTAGTAGTTTCTATCTTATCAGGTTGTTATGGGAATTAAATGAGTTAATAATTATAAGATACTTAGAGCAGTGCCTATTATGTTCTAAGTGCTGTGTGAATGTTTGTAAAACACAGGATAGATTTCCTGACCCCAGCGTTAAGCTTTTGCCTTCGTTAGTTTTGAATGTTCAGAAGCATTTTAATAGGCCAGTGATCCTTAAATGGGATGATTACTCCTTTGGCTTGCTGTGGTGCTGATTCTTCATTAGGACCACAAATGATCACTGAGGCACTATATTAGTGATGCTTTGGTGAGACATTTTCTACCCTTAAGAAGCAAATGCTTAACTGTAAGGGATAAAATGCACACAGAGTTCAGGGAAAATTAGGATGAGGGCCACGGAGATGCAGAGAAGAGTACTTGGATGGTACCAATACAGGAAAGCTTCATGGCTTTTGAATTGGGCCTTGGAAAGATTTTCATAGATAGAGACAGGTAGAATGTGCTAATCACAATATACTAAAAGGTACTGTAGAATAAAGGGGAAGTGAGTCAGGTGGGCAAAGAGTTAAGAAAGGGTCAGATCAGAGAGTGATTAGTGGCCTAACAACAGCCTATTCAGTCGGTTTGCATAGTTCCTAAGGAGAAGCGATTAGTGTTAACTTTCCTGTAACTCTGGTGTCCTCATCTATAAAATGAGGAAGATGGACTAAGTAGTACTTTCTAAGGCTCCCTTCAGTTTGCAGATTCCGTAATTATTAGTTTCCATTGGATGTAAATTTTTGTTTAAAACTTTTATTGAGGTTTAACATACATCCAGAAAAGGGCACAAATCATTGGTGTTCAGCATGTATCATATATCCCTCCTAATTGTGGGATTGATTTACTTAATGTGGTATTTTGTTTGATAACCTGTTGCCTTCAGTTATACCACACATTTCATAAAGACAGGTTCACATTTGTAGCCATGGTGCTGAAGACGTAGTTTCTTAGTGTTTGTTAAATTAATGTATAAAAGAATTTAGGTTAAGTTGGGATGACATTTGAGGAGCCTTTGCTGGTGGGAATACCAGAAGGACCTGGTTAATTTCACTTGCCTCACCAAGAATCCTCCATAGTTTCCTGGGGTTAGT